CGAATTTTTAAAATCATTATAAAAAACATTAAGACTTTATCATATTTGGTTATTTCATGTAATTACAAATAATTCTGGATAATTTATAGATATTTTTTGTTTGAAAAAAATAATTATAATAATTATAGAAATTTTAGATCATTTAAGTAGTTTTATTACTTTCTAAAGATCGTGCTTATATATTTTAATTTAAATATTTTTGGTTTGGTTCGACTTTTTTTTTTACAAATATAATCCTTTTAAAAAAATATAAAAATGTTTTTTAAATATAAAATTCAATAATTAGCGTACATTTTACTAAGTGAATGAGAATTCTATAGCTCTACCAGCTTTGTGAAACAAAACTTTGGATTAATTTACTTTTTTGTAAGATAAATTCATTTTTAATTTTTTTGAATCGCAAGCTTTCTCCTTAAATTATGTTGTTATTTTATGTCTAATAAAATTATTAAATATAAATGTAAAAGTTATTATTTTGCTAGTTTATTTAACTAATAAATTATTTAACTAATTTTTATAGGTTTACATAAATATGATTTAAAAAGAAAAAATCAGTCAGATTCAGCTAGATTCAGCTGTTACCATTTACATTTCAATATATTCTGCCAGATTCCGCAATAAATTCAGCAAAATTCAGTCAGATTCTGCAATTACCATTTAGACCCTAAGAGTCTAAATGGTGTATGTCAAACTGAAGAATTGTGCCTAATGGTGAAAACTGGTTACCATTTACACTAAAAGAATGTGGCCTATAAGGAAGTAAAAACAAAAATTGCATAATTTGAACTAAAAGACAAAAATTGCTGATTTATGTTAGAAAAAGACAAAAACATGAGTTAGCAATTGATAGAGATTATGCGTAGAATTCCAATTAATAAAATATTTGCTTATTTTATGTTGGAAAAAAAATAAAACCTTGAGTTAGCAATTCATAAGAGATTGTACTGTAAATTGAGCATTCCAATTAATACAATTTTATCTTTAAAATCATGAAGAAAATATATGCAATTTAAATTTATGTAACAAACAAAAGTTGCTGATTTTTGTTTAAACATAATTGGATGAATTTTGAGGTG